GAACTGTGGAGTCCTTGGGGTTCTCTGAGCTTGGTTCTTCTCTTGCAAATGTTTCATTACCTGGCTAGGTAACATCTTCAGTGCTAAAATTAAGATGTTACCTAGCTGGGTAATGAAACATTTGCAAGAGAAGAACCAAGCTCAGAGAACCCCAAGGACTCCACATTTTGCTAAAACTCCATAATTCGGATTTTTCCTGAGAAAGCAATTTACTGAGGAAAATCCAGCAAACCACCATGACCTCCGAGGGGCAGGAGATCCGACCAGTGGAAGAGGAGAAGGAGTTGCTACCACTGGAAGCTGCCATCACCGAGCTAGAGCTTGGGGCAGTCGGTGGAGGCGAGAGGAGGCCATCCCCTCCATTAGAGGTCAAAGAAATTTTCATCCCATTGCAGCGAGTCGCAGCCCAGGTGATCGTCAAAAGAAAGGACCAAGCCAGAGACTCGCTCAACAATGGGAACTGCAGAGCAAGATGGACTTTTGGGAGGTGGCTGAGGAACCTCCCCCGGAGGTGCCGGACCATCCCAGGTGGTCAAGAGCCATTGGAGGGGTGAAGGGATTCATGGCGCCCCGAGATGAGGATCGCAGGGTCCGGGAGTTGGAGAGCGAGGTGCGGACCCTGAAGGAGCAGATGAAGCTCATGGTGCCCGCTGAAATGACCCCCAGACGGAGGCTGACCGAACTGGAACCCCGGGGCTGCTGGGAGGCAGAATAGCGAAGGGACACCCTACCCACTCCCCCACCGCCGAGACCAAGCCCCGCGCGATGGCAGACTTGAGAATGGGCCGAGGAGAGAGAGAAAGAGCCGTGGGGCCGCCGGCGCAGGTTGTTCCGGGCACCTGAGAGCTACGGGGGGTGGGGACCCCGTGGCTACCGAGACGAGGGCGATCCGCTGAAAAGTTGGGGGCTGGAGAAAACCTACAACAGAGACCCAGAAGAGTTCGCTACTTTCCTGAACCAAGTGCGGATCTGCATGGGAACCTGCGGGCGCCTGTTCGCAACCACGCGTGGAGGGCGCTATACGTCTCCGCTACCTGGCAGGACGCGCGGCGGAGTGGTTAACGACCCACAGGAGGCGGAGGCGCTACAGCTGGGGGATTTCAACCGATTTACCATCGCGCTACGAAACAGCTCGCGCAGAGGAAAGTACAACTGAGCTGATGCAAGGCTCTCGCCCCGTCACCGAACCCGCTTTAGAATTCCAGCGGTTGGCTGCCGAAGTACCCGGCTGGCCCGAAGCGTTTCTCGTGAAGCGCTTCCAAACAGGGCTGAACCCAGAATGATGCCAGACGGCGATGGTGCGCGGCTGCCCGACAACGCTCGACAGCTGGATGTCCCACGTCTCGGTACTGGAAGCACAACTGGCCACGCCTCGATTTCCGGCCGCGCAGCCGAAGTTCCCCACGGCGGCCAGCGGCGAAACCCACTACCAGAGTGGCAAAACCGTCGCCAAGAGGCTGGGCAACGGGGAAGACGCGCTTCCAGGGCGGAGAGCAGGGGCACTTCGCCTCCGCCTGCCCGAAGAAGCCGCCCCAAAAACCCGTGACGAAAACCAAACCTACCGGGAAGTCGACGAACCCAGAGAAGAAGGGCACGGCGGCCGTGGGGGAAGTTGACATATATGCCCTGTTTTACTAGTATAGTAAAGGCCATCTGCGTACTTTGATTTTAGTAAATGCTTTTCGCCTGCTTTGATTCTGCCAATCTCAACGGTGGGGGAGGGAAGTGAAAGGAGACAGAGACGGCGCAAGATTGAAGGCCAGGAAGAAGACGTGTTATCGGGGTTAGGAATGCACAAGGCCACACCTCTGTGAACACCAAAAGTGGCACCTAGATTGAAGGGGGGACAAGGGGGGGTAAAAGTAGAGGGGAAATTACGCGGGCTTTAGTTTTAGCAATGCTTGGCTTAGAGCTGCATGTACCATCCAGTAAATGAAATCTTTTCTGAACCTACTTTGGGCTTCAAGAGATTTTTCTATAT